TTCCTCTACCCTTTCCAAGAAGAAAGGAAAAGATTTAAAAGAATGTGTGAAAGGAAATAGAAGGGGGGGGGGCGCAACAGGGGGCAACAGGGGGCAGCAGACTCTTAGCCAATTGGTGAGTTCAAACTCCTGAAGCTACCAGTAATGTCTGCTGAACAGCCTGAGTGTGAGAACAGCCCTATTGCATGGGGCCAGAGGCTATATATGTGGCAAGACTATCTTTTCTCCTTCCTTCCTTCCTTCCTTCCTTCCTTCCTTCCTTCCTTCCTTCCTTCCTTCCTTCCATGAGTTCACAAACATCTGTTTAATTCATTATTAAATACTTTGCACAATGAAAGGAATACAAAACAATACCATGCCATTATAATCCTAGGAGGGAAGAAAGAAATTAGAATATGCACATGAGTAAAGAGTTGTGGATCTTGAATCCTGGTACAGAAGGAAAGAAAGAGGAAGAGGAGAGCTGATAGATAGGATTGCAGAATGTTAGCCTCTTGAATTTGGGTATCTTAGAAATGAAGGGCACTGAATTTTTGAAAATATATTTTTAGGAAATATTTTAAATATAGGAAGCATACACAATAGTACAACGAACGTCCGTATAGTCACCATCTAATTTCATTAAATGTTAATAATTTCATTATTTTTCCCTATGTATTTTTATTATACAATTTCTCTTCTTGTAATTTCTAAAATTTTTAATATTTTTACTGGTGCATTATAGCTATACATATAGTGGGATTTGTTGTTACATATTTGTACATGCACATGATATAAAAATGTAATTTCATTTATATCATTCTCTAGTATTTCCCCTTTCCCTCCTTTCCTCACTCCCTGTACTCTATTAGTCTCCCTTTGATTTTCATGAGACTTCCCCCAACCTTTCTTTGTCTTTTTCCTCTATAGCTTCCACATATGAAAGAAAATATACAACCCTTGATTTTCTGAATTTGGCTTATTTTATTTAAACTGGTTTCTTAGGCTGGGATGTACCTCAGTGGTAAAGTGCTTGCCTCACTTTTCTAAAGCCCTGGGTTTGATCCCCAGTTCCAAAAAAAAAAAAAGTGTCCTCAAGCCCCACCATTTTCCTACAAATGACATAATTTTATTCTTCTTTATGTCTTACAAAAATTTCATATAAATTATATATATATATATATATATATATATATATATATATGTGTGTGTGTGTGTGTGTGTGTATTTATCCATTTATCTGTTGATGTGCAATAGCCAAACTATGGTTCCATAGTTTGGCTATTGTGAATTGTGCTGCTGTAAACATGGGTATGTGTGTATCACTATAGTATGATGACTTTTAATTCTTTAGCTAAATACTGAGGATTTAAATACTCTTTAGCTAAATACTGAGGTATAGCTGGGTCATATGGTCATTTCATTTCTGTTCTTTTGAGGAAACTCCATACTGATATGCATAGTAGTTGTACAATCCCATCAACAATGAAAAAGTGTTCCTTTCCCCGTACACCTTCTCTAGCACTTACTATTGTTTGTCTTTTTGATGTGTCCCATTGTAACTGGAGTGAGATGAAACTCAGTGTAGTTTTGATTTGCATTTCCCTAATTGCTAAAGATGCTGAACTTTTTTTTTTCCAAATATGTTTTGGGAGAGGCCTTCTTTATGAAAAAGAGCATAAAGTCACAAGAGATGTAAAAAGGAAAAGAGTCTTGGAAGGGCCTGCACAAATGAAAGGAAGGCTGGTAGGTTTAAGCATCATGAGCTCATCAGCTTCATGGGCCATTCACATCTGAGAGGATCTGTTGTATTAAAGGTGTACATGAAGTAGTGAAGGGTCTGAACACAACATCTGGGTTGAGGGGAAATGAGGCAGAGACAGTTACTCATATGTGGTTGGGGAACCAAGAGGTGGGGTGAGGGATTTGGCATGAGAATGTAAGGGTTGGGACCTTCTTCCAGATTGAAATGGATGTGTGTGTTGGGGGATTGGGTCTATTTTACCTATTGAGTAAATCATACCTAAAGCTTGAAGGTAGAAGACAACTTGGTAACATCAGAGGGCTTTAAAAAATAAATTAACAAATAAAATGGTTACTATTTCTTTTCATGCACCCTATGCTTTAGTCAAATTGAAATATACTCATTGTGTTGGTAATTTGCAAACTTACACATTTAAACACCTAAAACATTCAGAGATGATAGCAAAGCCATTATAGAAAGGTTCCTAGCAGAAGTGGGAAGATTATAAATGAATCTCAACCAATGATAACAGACTCTTAAAATGAAGTATGACTTACTGTTCATGGGTAGGAATTTAATTTTTTTGAGTACTTAGCTGTATTCTGGATACCACCTAGAAAGAATTAGACAAACATTCTCTCCTAAAAGAGATTACAGACTAGTAAGGAGCTATCTCAACATTTCTGGGAGAAACAACAGGATAATATAGAAAAATCACGGTTGTAAGGAAGTCTGAATTCTTAATGAAATCGTGGCATGAATGAAGGGAATGAGGTTGGCAGTCCCATTGTAATGGGTTCTTCGATGGAGCAATTGGGAAAAAGGAGAGATGGGGCCTCCAAGATGATGTGTCAAGTTCGCTTCTGAGGAATGTGAATCTTGTGTTGAGGAGCTGGGAGCTATAGAGGAGGCTGAAAGAATAATAGGATACAATTACCCCAGAGACTCCTGTAACTCATCATGTGGCATGTTATGCCCTGGACTGACAAAGGGACTAATATCCTGGCAAAAGGTGCATACTTTGGATAGTTGGGACATGACTACTTCACTCATTGGCCTCATAGTAACTAGCTGCTCCCCAAGTCTAGTTCCTCTTTTTCTCAGGCACACAGCAAAGCTCAGGTTCCTGGCATCTTTTGCAGTTAGATGTGCTGATGAAAATGAGTTCTGAACAATGAAAGGTGGTTAGAAGTAACGCAGACCTTGAGAAGTTCCCCATAAGAACCTTCCACATGAAACCCCACTACCCTTTCCACTATAGATGGGTCTTAGAAGTTCTGTGTGGAAACATAGGAGCCAGGAGATGGAAGAAATCTGTGTCTCTGAATCACAATTTGGAAAGTGAGAATAAAAATCTACTAACTAAGAAGACCTAAGCTGGGCCCAATGGTGCACACCTGTAATTCCAGCAGCTCAGGAGGCTGAGGTAGGAGGATTACAAGTTCAAAGCCAGCCAATTTAGCAAGGCCATAAGCAACTTAGCAAGAACCTATCTCAAAATAAAAAACAAAAAGGGCTGAGGGTGTGGGTCAGTGATTAAGCACCCTGGGTTCAATACCTGGTACCAAAAAAAATAAAAAATAAAAAATAAAAAGGAACTGTTTTGAATACATGTTAGAAATGTTTGTTGTCTTAGCCTACCTACCAAGATTTTGGTTTTCTGTTTTCAGAGACTATATTATTCAAACTCAAAGTTCAACAATCTGTGACCTCTGGGTCAAATCTAGCCCTTGTAACACATGAAAAAAATATATATATATACATTTATATTTTAAAAGTGTTAATGAAGAGGGGCTGGGGCTGTGGTTCATTAGTAGAGCGCTTGTTAATGAAGAAAAAAATATGTGACAGAGACCGTAGGTGACTCACAATATCTAAGATATTTGCTATTGTGCACTTAGCAGAAAAAGTTTGCTGATTCCTGTTTTAACCAATATAGATTTCCTATGACAGAGACCTTGAATCCTAGACAGATAGAAAGTCTTCCAATTATATGACAGATAACTTTTTGGGTGCAAATATATTTGAATATGTTAAAAAAAGAAAGCTATAGATTTCCACTACTAGGAAAAAAAAATGGAATCCTGGCAACTGACTTTACATTTTGATCTAAAACAATCACAAACCTTTAAGCCTCTAAATATATGTTTTCCAGATATTGAATATCAGTCAATGAACAGTGATCTCAGAGAGACTGGAAGCAAGTGGTGAGCTGTGGGCTTGCCCAGCCCTCTGCCTGGAAATTCTCTAGGCCTTGTGTGTGCCTGTGCACATGTGTGTGTCTGGGGGGAACAGCTTGGGGCCTGGCAGCCTCTCTGACTTGAGGAGAGAGACAGAGCTAGGTACCTGAGGAGGCCAAGGTTGGGAGAGCTGTATTTAGAACTCTGGAGAGGGGCAGAGTCCCCCAAAAATAAAACTGTTGAGCACTGGTTACCACATCCACATGAGGAAATTAGCTGACTCTGAGGAAAGACCCATTCAAGAGAAAGTTAAAAAACAATCCTCATAGCTAATGCAGGAAAAAACTAGAGATAGTGCCTATTTCTACCAGAGTAGGAACCTCATAATGCCATCCGCTGGAGTACTAAGAAGGATTTGCCCTAGCAGTAGGGCAGAACAGCCCTGAAGCTAACAAAGTTTAAAAGCAATATCCAAAGGATTAAACTTTCCCCACGTAATTTACCTGCATCCCAAAACAAATAAAAATCAAGAAAGTCTGTAGGAAAAAAAAAATTCAGTTCCTAGAAAGGTAAAATTTACAAGGTGAGGCGTCTAATAAAAATTACCATAGCAATTACAAAATTGGGTGGAGGACTTGAACAGTGACTCCATTGAAGGAGATACCCCGGATGGTTAATAAGCATGTGAAAGATGTTCCAATTCGTTAATCATTAGAGAAATGTGAATTGAAACCACAATGAGGTACCAAAACACACCTATTAGAATGCCAGGAGTTAAAAAGACTGCTGATACTAAGTTTTGGTGAGGATATAGAGCAACAGGAACTCTTATTGGTAAGAACGTGAAACAGTACAACCATTTTCAAACACTGTTTGGTAGTTTGTTGTAATGTTTACGATACCTACAATAGGATTAAGTCCAATATTCCAGATGCTTATTCAAGTGAAGTGACAGCTGGGATCTGCACAAAGATTTGTACATGGATTTTTGTAGCAGCTTTATTTGTAATAGTCCTAGACTAGAAGCAACCCAAATGTCCATCAGCAGGATAATGAATAAAGAAATTGTGGCAAAACAGATTACCAGACCAGGTGGCTTAAACAATAGAAATTTATATTCTCACAGTTCTGGAGGCTAAACTTCTGACAACAGGGTGTGGGCAGGTTTGATTTCTTCTGGGGACTCTCTCCTTGGCTTGCAGTTGGCTGCCTTCTTCTGATGCCCACACATGGTCTTTTCTTGGTGCCTATATCTTTGATGTCTCTGTGTGTCCTAGGCTCCTCTTCTTCAAAGGACTCTAGTCAGATTGGATTATGGCCTCATTTTTTTAAAATTAATTAATTAATTAATTCTCTCTTAAAAGGCATTTATCTCCAAATATGGTCATATTTTGGTGTACTAGATTCTAGGGCTTTGACACTGAAATTTTGGGGAGCCATAATTCAGTCTGTATAACGCCATGTCATGGAATTCTACTCAGAAAAAAAAAAAAGAACTATTGTGACATGCTACAACATGAATGAACCTTGAGATAGTTATGCTGAATAAAATAAATCATTCAAGAATGACTGTATATTCTTTGTCTCCACTTATATAACCTTCTGGAAATTGCTAACTATAGTGGCAGAAAGGAGATCATTGTTTGCACGGGTTGTGTTACAGTTGTTCGATATCTACAGCTTATTGTATTTCAACTGAAATAAAATACCTTAGTAAAAAAAAATTTTTTTAAACATGAACATGTTATAGTTTTATTTATAAAGCATGACAGGCCTAAATTCACATTGCCATTTTACTATTCTAAGAGTAAAAATAAAGATAACTACCCCCCAAAGTGACTGGTTTGGATGGATCACCACTGTTCTGGTTTTTATCTATCTTCAGCGCCTCCTTTGCCAGTACCAGATCAACTTCCTCCTTTTTTCCAAAGGAAGAACCTCCCATCTTTTGGTAACTATTCCAATGACAGAAGTTAGCGTGGGTTCACAGAATGAATCTACCACAGAGAGAAGTTGAACTGAATGCTGGAAAGAGAGAACTAGCATTGTTTGAGATTCTGATTCTGGTTCCAGTTGATGCTGAAAATCAGTTATATCTCTAATCTTTCCAAGTAGTTTTTTTTTTCTCCTCTCATTGTTCCTTATTCTTTTTGTGTGAATAATTTCCTCATTTCTCAAATTGATTTAATGGAAGCTCCTGTCATCAAATAGTGTCAACAGTTTATTGTATATTTAAGAAATATATTTCTAATTTCTATTTCTTTCAATGACTGAAATCCTGGCGTAACCCTGAGTAAATAATTGGAGGTGGGTCTGACCAAATCAACAATTCCATTTAATTTCAACATGTTTATCAAATAACACCTGAGGCATTGTATAACATGGTGAAAGGTATTTTCATCAAGAATGCATTTAGACAGACACTCAGATTTTAAACAGCTAAATAATTTTGAGACTTCCCACTGTAAATAATTTTGTAGCAAAACTCCCAGGTGTGCATTTCTGGAAACAAATATAAATGGAGCCCAAATTTAACTCACAGAAAATATGTGACCATGGGGAGATGAAAGTCAGTGAATAATAACTTTTACTTTCCTAGAATCCTCTGGATTCCAAGCCACCTGTGGACTAGACACTGTCTCTTAGGCTTTATCTTTCATGCTAACTTACACTATAATCAAGGGAAAGCTTTTTGGTTCCAATGAATTTTAATTTAATAAGATTCTCTGAATGCAGCCACCCATTCCTCTCTATTACCCCAAGCCTCTTTGGAAGTACAAAATGGAACAGCTTTTCATTAGTGTTTCTGTTTCATTTTGTCTCGTTGTTTATTCTTTAAACCCTTTTGCACATCGCAACTGACGAGTTACATTCTTAGTAGTTTCAGAAGTAAAAATAGGTCTTTCACATCATTGCAGGGCTCTTTTCCTAAAGCACGGTGGTGATGACAGAGTTAGGTGTCAAGTTTCCTCTTCTCCCTCATATAAAGTGAGATAGCAATGTCCTAGCAATGATCAGATCAGGGCAGAGAAGAGCTAAGCAAGTAATAGTTCTTAATAAAAACCTATCAACTGATCACATAGTGGGAGGTATTCAGAAATTCTATGACAAATATTCACATACACAACCATTTCTCTGAAATAATTATTTAAAATTAAAGAGGAATACAAAAAGCACATGCATTTGGAAATGTTTCAGGGTTTCTTTTTTTTTTTTTTTTTTTTTGAGGTAAGCAAAATTTGTGTCTTTACATTTGTTTGAATGAGCACCTAACCAAAACTATTCCTAACTCATCAGCCCAGGAGAAGAGCCCTGTATTTTTGATGCCAAAATACACTCTTGTTACATTTTCATATTGTCAGACTGTGACTCTTACCCCAATAGGATCTTTTGGCATCATTAAAATACCTTACTTTTTCACTGCTTTCTCCTTTTAAGAGGATTTAGTTCACAGACACATTATCATTTCTAATAACAGCACAGCATTTTATCATACAGTTCCGTCTCGTGATAGAACTCAGAAAAACTTAAAATATTAGCAAGATGAGGTATGGTTCTTAGGATGCCTGCTCGTCCTGCTTCCCCCATTATAACTTAGTCTCACTGTCTCACTTCCTACCTCTAAAGCAAGACGTTCAATTTACTCAGTATGTTCTGCAGGGGTGACATGTGGGATTAATGAAGACTATCAAAAGTGATACTTTTTAGGAAGTGAAAATTGAAAGACTGACCTCTGACACAGGTGTGAGATAGGAGAGACTCAGCTTGCTTATCTGTAATATGGGAACGGTAGCAATGTCACAGGGTTGTCATGACAATAAATCTTCAATGATGAATGAGAAAGCATCTGAGCATCCACCTCTGAAAGCATCACAGCTGAAAGGAGTCAATGAATATCAGCACCCACCAGGAGCCCTGGCTTTCTGCTCCAAGTCTTCCCTCTCTCCTTGCTTTGTCAGTTCCTCCTCTTTTCCCACTGCTGGTCCCCGGGAAACTTGTGTTTCCTTCCTTCCTGTCAAAGCCCAGATCCTTCCTTTACAACCTAGTGCCAACAGCCAGTAGACGCTAAAGAACATTTTAGCAGGCCGTGGGTTTTCAGATGTCTGCGCCTGGGTGGGGTGGGATAAAACCCAGGAGATGGGTATTCATTTACCTTGCCTACCTACTCATTTACCTGGCATGAGTCTGCCTTGATGACTGGCAATAACAGGGTTGATATCTCGAATATTAACAACTGGTTCTTCCTCATCAGAATGGATGCAGTCAGGAAACAACCGGTCGGGCCAGAGGGTGGATACTGGCTCTATTGATCTTGGTAAATCATTCTAACTGATCCCTGTGTTCTTTGTTCTGTGACTTGTGCAATTCAGTATCATAGTAAGAGCTGTGGAGTAGTAGAAAGAACCCAGGATTGGGACTTCCATTCAGATCCTGTCATTTCCAAGCTGTTCAACTTGATGGCAGTTTTCTCATCTCCAAAGGAAAATAATACTCACTTCGTAGGATTTGTTTGTTTTCAGTCCAGTTTCTAAAGATACTCTTTCCTCGGCTTCTGGAGGTAGCTGGGGTTTCAGGTGTGAACACCACACCCACCTTCAAAAGAGATTTTTATACGGGGATATTTTATAATGAGAAGAAGGTGATAGAGCTATTAGTTCTGATGATTCAGTAGTTCCAGTTTTTCTATATGTAACAATGGCCACCAGTGATGCACCAAGGCCACAGATTTCCAAGATTCTGGATTTTGTATAAAATGATATCTCACATTTCAAGGCTTAGCAAGATGTGCTGGTGTATATTTCTGGGTGCTTGGAACTCTTTCTCATCTCTGACATAGCATTTGTCCTAAATCATTGCTAGTTAGTTCTCTTCTAACTCTTTAAAAATCTATGCTTTCAGGGCCAGGCCTTTTTATTAGGATATTTCTTTGGGGCTTTGTGTTGCCTGCCAAGCCAGTTCAGACTCACTTTAACTGAGCTCAGCTGCTGAGGATTAGTTTCCTGTCCACTTCAAGGCCAGGCTTGACCAATTCTGATCTGAATACACAGAGAAGGAGAGAGAGAGAGATGTGGACAAAAGGTTTCAGGCTTCCCAATCAGGGTTTCCTGTGGCCCTCCCCGCCCTAGCTATTGTGTGCTTCTTTTGTGGGCTGACTCAAAGCTGACCTGCCATGCAGTGTTTGATATTTATATTTCTGGAAATGGTTAGCCACATTACTAGGTAATAAGGTTGCAAATTCTAAAGTCTCCCTTGTAATCCAGGTCAGATGTTGTCCTGGGAGTGGGTGGGAAGGTAGAGAGGCCAAGACTGAGGTTGCTATGCTTGAGGGCAGATGATGAGATCATTGCCTGGCTGCTGCAATCCTCCCTGATACTTATCTGCACTCTGGTGCAGAACCCACTGAGCTCTTAGTTCAAGTTCAAGAATTCTTGTCTCCTTTAAATTTATGCTGCACTTGAATTTTTTCGATTGTTATTAACACTCCATATTTAATGGAATTTGCCTTTTAAAAATAGAACATTAGCACGGGAAGAGAACCAAGAGATTAAACAAGCCAGGGCCCCCGCCCCCCCCTTAGGAGAGGAGGGAACACACATTTGACTTGCCGTGGGCCACAGAACCATTCTGTGGAAGAGTCAGGTCTGAGGGACCCAATTTCCTGATTCCCAGTTGGCTGCTTTTTCAAAAGCACTTTCCACGCTAATTCCTGCTGGTGAGGTTTGCCCTTGACTCCTCTGATGCTCTCGGTTGGCTGCATCCATCTGTTTGTTCTAAATAAGTGCTGTTGTTTCTAGCATACACATCCCGGGGCATTCTCTAATATACAAGGATCAAAAAGTGCTCAGGATGTGGCCAAAACCTCTGGGAAGGCCAGGGATGGGAGAGAACAGAATCTATACCAACATACCACTGTTTCATTGACTAAGTCAAGGTAGTGATGGATTTTAATACTTCAAGTTCACCCTTGGGATGGCCCAGGGTGGTGGGCCAGCTATCTCGTCTCTTTTTCCCTCTCACACAGACACCTGGAGCCAGAGGGTTTGTCAGTTTTAAGGCCCCGCCTCTGGCCCTTGGGGTACTGGCAGGTACTGACTAGTAACTGATGGAGCCAGCTAGTCAGTTGCAAGTTCCTGACATCTGGCACCGGAGAGGAACACAAGGTAGGAGGCCAAATAGGGAATAGACAAGCCCTGTGGCAGGAAAGTGAAACTGGACAGAAGTGGCTCAGCAGGAAAATGGAGAGACATGCTCACCGGGGGCATGTGCAGACACATCCACATTTTGTGGATGAGAGCCCACAAAAACCGTGCCACTCCCACACCAGTGCAGCGTCAAACTGTGCAGCACATTCATTCCAGGGTCTGCGACCCTATGAAGAATTCAGGAGAGTAAAGGAGGGAGACAGGGTAGTGGTCTCCAATTTGGCCTAACCACAGGGATCCCACATGCCTCATTTTTGACGTGCAATTTTTGCAGTTCCTGTGTCCCACAGCAGAAAGGCTTCTATTAAGAAGCCCTGGGACAATTGGTGAAACACTGCTGGGAAAAAAAGAGACTTAGATTTGGAATCACTGGAAGTTGACTTTTCACCCCAGCTTGATTCTGCATTAGCTTTGTGTCTTAAGCAAGTGTTTTCTTTTCTCTTGTTTTTTCTTTTTGTGGTACTGGAGATTGAACCCAGGAGTGTTTAACCAATGACCCACATCCCCAGCACCCACCCACCTTTAAAAATTTTTTTTTTGAGAAAGAGTCTTGCTAAGTTGCTTAGGGCCTTGGTAAGTTGCTGAGGCTGGCTTTCAACTTGCAGTCTTCCTGCCTCAGCCTCCTGAGTTGCTGGGATTGCAGGCATGCGCCACTGTGCCCAGCTCTAGCAAGTGTTTCCTAACGGCAAAATGAGAGGTGGTCCAGAAAAGAGTATGAGGATGTAATAGAAGACCTGGGTTTGCAATCCCAGCTCTGTTGCTCTGTGTTATTAATCAAGTTATTGAACATCTTTTCACCTTGGTTTTCAAACAGCGAAACAGGGAGGATGATTGTAGTCTTTTTCAAATCCTTTTTATGAAGATCAAGTATATAATTTTAATTCACTTGGAAAGGAACGGTATCTTGTTCATTGAAGGACTGTACAACCATTTGTTGTTAACATTAAACAGTGGATAACGATATTGTTTCCTCGTTCTGGCTAAGATTTACAGAAGATGATACAAGTAACTTACCTGGTACAAGTTTGAGGCTCAATAACCAGGACCAACTTTGTTTTTGTGATGAACTGGCTACATAAGAATGTTTATAAGCTTTGTGGACACTGGAGTACATTATCATGTCGTAAACTTACTACATACATACTAAAGAGACCTCAGGAAAAGAAGGAAGCTAAATCTGAATCTTCCTCAAGGCCAATGTATAAGTTAGGGCCCCGACTGAGCCATCAGGCTAAATTATAGTTCCTCCCAGGGAGATGAGTGTACCTATGGTGTGAAGGACAGGAAGGATGAGAAAGCCTGAGGGCAACTTCAGAGGCCTGAACTATTGTGATCAGCTCAAAGCAACTCTGATCCTGGTTAAAAAAAGAAAAAAAAAAAAAAAAAAAGAAAAAGAAAAAGAAAAAAGAAAGAAATGGCATTCAAAAAACCTAGCTCATTTGAAAACTGCCCAAACACATGAGAACAGCTCCGGAAACCCCATCTGTTTCACGTTTACAGAACTTCTTGTCCCTTCAGTCTGGGCACAACTGACTCACTTTTCATTGTGTTCCTATGGCAGAGTGTCTTGTCATTTCCAAAGAAACCAGACAGCAGGTTTCACATGCTTGAGAAATGTGCATGCCGCCTCTGTAATTGGTGAGTCTGTCTAAGGATTTGATTATTGTGACTCACATGGAAAAGGGATTAGATAATTAGCAAATTTACAAATGCATTTTTTAAAATGTAAAGCGATGATGTCTAGACCACAAGCTATCCCTTTTCTTTTGCTTGCATCTCTGCTGTGAGACTTCAGTCTAGCTGTAGCAAAGATTTTAAGAGCATGGGTGAACTCTCAAGTCTGACTGCCTGGCTCTCTCGTAGTTCTGCCATGTACTTGTTGTGTCCTTTGGGCAAGTTAATTGACTTCTCTGTGCCCCAGTTTCCTCATCTGTAAAATGGTTAGAGTAAGAGCACCTGCCAGTTTTATTTAGGTAATTAGCCCTACCTGCTCCCAAATCTTAGAACAGTGGTTATTTCTTGCTCACAGCATAGTCGACAGCATAAAAGGCTCTAGGTGGCTCCGTTTGAAGCAGTGATTGGACCTAGGTCTCTTCCATTGTGGAACCTCATCAACCCCGCCCGGTATATCGTGCTCTCTAGTAGTCCAGGAGCCACATTTAGTTTTTTAAACTTAATTAAAATAAAATAATATTAAAAGTCACTTAGACCAGCCACACCTCCAGTGCTTGTGAGTTACGTGTGTCTGGTGATTACTGTATTGAACAGCACATATAGAACATGTGTCTATCCATTAAATAAAATTTAATTTTTTTTACCTTTATTTATGTATTTTTATGGGGTGCTGAGGATGGAACCCAGTGTCTCACATGTGCTGGGCAAGCACTCTAACACTGAGTTACAACCCCAGCCCAGTTAAAATGTAATTTAATGACACTTATTCAAGCAGGGTAAGGAAGACATCACTTGGGACTATTGCAAAAGATATAGGGACTCAATTTCGAATAGAGGATGGCAAGTAGGAATTCCAAGGTAAGGAGCAGGGTGGAGGTAGGTTGCTGGAAACGCACTAAGAGGTAACATCCGGGTTAAGGAAGATCCTGTCTAAACACATCTAAAGAATGGTTGCTGAAGACAGGCCAGGCCAGCACATCAATCACCTGAGGGATGGTGGAGGCTGAGGAGGAATCTGGTCAGATATCAAGGGAGATCAGATATTGAGGGCTGGCGATGGGATTCTTGCTAAACTGGTTTAGCAGGGTTCTTGCTAAAACTAATTTTTACAGGAAAGTGCATATATAGGTCTAGGAGATAGTGCAGAAGCCTGGCTAAAGTTTGCTCAAGCAAACAAAGAATCTTCATCAGAGCATTACAGAAAGTTCTAGTGGACAGTGTTGCTTCAGGGCTTCCTTGCAGTTTTTCCCCTGCTTGGCTTCCGTGTAGCTGGTGAGGGAGAAGACAGCCCTCTTAGGGTCTTTCAGGATAGTAGGAAAGGGTTGCAGGAGTTTTCCTTCCTATGAAGTATTGGGCTTAAAGCCTAGTTATCCATAGATCAAAGGATTCTGTTTTCTGAGTATAG